CCCCACCGGTAGGGCGCCCCCCCCCCCCACCCCACCTGAAAGTGTAATCCCCTACAAAAGGAAACATAAAAACCCCCCCCCCCAAACAAGTAATCAACCCTCATAAAAAAAAAGAAAAAAAAAAAAAAAAAGAAATAAAAAAGGAAAAAAAAAAAAAAATAAAAAAAAACAAAACCCCAAAAAAAACAAAAAAAAAAAAAAAAATGAGTCCCCCCCTAAAACAAACCTCCCGCGGCGCAACAAAAAAAAAAAAAACCCAAAAACCCACCCAACCCCACAGCCCCCCCCCCCCCCCCCCCCCCCCCCCCCCCCCCCCCCCCCCCCCCCCCCCCCCCCCCCCCCCCCCCCCCCCCCCCCCCCCCACCCCCCCCCCCCCCCCCCCCTCCCCCCTTAAATCCCCCCCCCCCCAGCCCACCCCCCCCCTCCCCCCCCCCCCCCCCCCCCCCCCCCTAACCCCCCCCCCCCCGCCCCCCCACCCCCCCCCTACCCCCCACCCCCCCCCCCCCCCCACCCCACCCCCCCCCCCCCCCCCCCCCCCCCCCCCCTACCCTCCACACCCACCCCCCCCCCCCCCCCTTCCCCCCCCCCCCCCCCCCCCCCCACCCCCCCCCCCCACCCCCCCCCCCACCCCCCCCCTCCACCACCCCCCCCCCCCCCCCCCCCCCCCCCCCCCCCCACAATCCCCCCCCCCCCCCTCCCCCCCCCACCCCCCCCCCCACCCCCCCCCCCCACCCCCCCCCCCCCCCCCCCCCCCCCCCCCCACCCCCTCCCAACCCCCCCCCCCCCCCCCCCCCCCCCCCCCCCCCCCCCTTCCCCCCCCCATCCCTCCCCTCCCCCCCCCCCCACCCCCCCCTCCCCCCCCCCCCCCCCCCCCCCCCCCCCCCCCCCCCCCCCCCCCCCCCCCCCCACCCCCCCCCCCCCCCCCCCCCCCCCCCCCCCCCCCCCCCCCCCCCCCCCCCCCCATCCCCCCCCCCCCACACCCCCACCCCCCCCACCCCCCGCCCCCCTCCCCCCCCCCCCCCCCCCCCCCCCCCCCACCCAACCCCCCCCCCCCCCCCCCCCCTCCGCACCCCCCCCCCCCCCCCCCCCCCCCTCCCCCCCCCCCCCCCCCCCCCTTTCCCCCCCCCCACCCTACCCCGACCCCCCCCCCACCTCCCCACCCCCCCCCCACCCCTCCCTCCCCAAAAACCACCCCCCCCCAACCCCCCCCTCCCCCCCCCCCCCCCCCCCCCCAATACAGTGCTGTGTATGTTACTCACGCTCTACACGGAATGTACACCAAGAAAATACAATCTGAACAAACTGGATTCCAGCACAGAGTGAGTTGGATAATAAGTGCTTATGTTACTCGGGGGCGTATTTAGCACAAGGTAAACAAGGCATTTGCCTAGGGTGGCATTTTTTAGGGGGGGGCAGCACTGGCCCTCAGAGGAGGGACATGGGGACCAGGTGGGATCTGAGAGAGGCTGTGGGCTGCTTGATGGTGTATGCAGAGTTCCACTGTCATTCCTGGGGATGGCCAGAGCTGTGAAGGTGAGTGTCTTTTTTTTCTGTCGGGGGGGTGTTAGTGGAAAGGCTCTCTCTCGGGTGGGGTGGAGAAGGAGTGCTGTTTTGGTTCACCATCATGGAAGGCTCTCTCAGGTGGGAGTGGAGCAGGGGTGTTGTTGGTCACTGTCACTGTCAGGGGGTGGGAGGAGCTCTCCATGGGGGGGATGTCTAGAGCTGTGAATGTGAGTGTCTTTTTTTCATCGGGGGGGGGTTAGTGGAAGGCTCTCTCGGGTGTGGGTGAAGCAGGGGTTTTGTTGGTCACCGTCAGGCTCTCTCCGTGGGGGGGGATGTCCAGAGCTGTGAAGGTGAGTGTCTTTTTTTTTTGTTGAGGGGGTGTTAGTGAAAGGCTCTCTCGGGTGAGGGTGGAGCAGGGGTGTTGTTGGTCACCATCAGGCTCTCTCCATGGGGGGGATGTCCAGAGCTATGTAGGTGAGTGTCTTTTTCTGGGGATGGGGCAGGGGTGTGGTTAGTCACTGTCAGGCTCTCTCCACGGGGGGGTGCCTGGAGTTGATTGGTGGCAATCTCTCTCCGCGGGGGGGGGGGTCTGGTGTTGGTTGGTGGCAGGATCTCTGCACCGGGAGGGGGGGTGTCCAATTTTTGTATTACCTAGGGCAGCACAATACCTAAGTACACCTCTGCTGTTACTACGATCCTATCATAGATTACATAGTAATTGTGTGACCAAAGTGAGATGGACCGCGATCTCCGACCTCCCCTCTCACTGTCCGCAAAATTGCCGGCAATACAATGTTTGTTTCTCCTATACAGTTTTTAAATATAATTAAATAAATGGTTGGCTATTTAAAAAGGGGGGGGGGGGGGGTTTTTTTTTTTACTAATTGTATATGCCATGTTATGAGACACATTCAAATAGTCCAGATTCATATATAATTGATATACATTATATATATACAAAAAATTATGTGTTCAAAATAATAGCAGTGTGTTGAAAAAAGTGACTAAAGCTGAAAATCCTTCTAATAGCTTTTATTTCCATCCACACAAATGCATTGGGAACACGACACATTCTATTCCAAATCACAACATGAAGAAAAATACATCAAATTTGTGTTGTTCCTCTAAAAAAATGGAATAAAAAGTGAATATTAGACGGTTCAAAAAAATGGCCGTGTTTGTATTCTTCTTTACAAACTCAAACATTCACTATATAAACTGAGAAATGTTTGAAGATTTTGCTTTCCTTTGAATGACTTCATGAATATTTGGTTGTAGTCGCACTGTTTCTGAGAACTGCTGTACATCTGTGTTGCATGGAGTCCCCCAACTTCTGGCCCCTGTGATCAGGTATTCCAGCCCAGGATGATTGGACCACATTCCACAGTTCTTCTCTATTTCTTGGTTTGGCCTCAGAAACGGCATTTTTGATGTCACCCCACAAGTTTTCTATTGGATGAAGATCCGGGGATTGGGCTGGCCACTCCATAACGTCCATCTTGTTGGTCTGGAACCAAGATGTTGCACATTTTACTGGTGTGTTTGGGGTCGTTTGTCTTGTTGGAACACCCATTTCAAGGGCATTTCCTCTTCAGCATAAGGCAGCATGACCTCTTCAAGTATTCTGATGTATTCAAACTGATCCATGATCCCTGGTATGCGATAAATAGGCCCAACACCGTAGTATGAGAAACATCCCCATATCATGATGCTTGCACCACCATGCTTCACGGTCTTCACAGTGTACTGTGGCTTGAATTCAGTGTTTGGGGGTCGTCTGACAAACTGTCTCCGCCCACTAGACCCAAAAAGAACAATCTTACTTCCATCAGTCCACAAAATGTTGCCACCATTTCTCTTTAGGCCAGTCAATGTGCTCTTTGGCAGATTGTAACCTCTTCAGCACACGTCTTTTTCCCAACAGTGGGACTTTGCGGGGACTTCTTGCAGATAGCTTGGCTTCACATAGGCGTCTTCTAATTGTAACAGTCCACACAGGGAACGTCACAGGGAACGTCACACCTTCTTTCATCTTCCTGGAGCTGATTGTTGGCTGAGTCCGCCCCATGTTGGCTATTTTTCTATCCATTCCAATGGTAGTTTTTTTTCGCTTTCTTCCACATCTTTCAGGTTTTGGTTGCCATTTTAAAGCATTTGCCATCATTTTAGCTGAGCAGCCGATCATTTTCTGCACTTCTTTATATGTTTTCCCCTCTCCAATCAACTTTTTAATCAAGGTACGCTGTTCTTCTGAACAATGTCTGGAATGACCCATTTTCCTCAGAATTTCAGAGAGAAATGCACTGTAACCAGCATGTCCAACATTTGCTGCCTTCCTTCCTTAAATAAGGGCAATAATTGCCACCTGTTTCTCAAAGAATGAATGACCTCACTAATAGAACTCCACACGGCTATTATTTTGAACACGCCCCTTTCAATGAGTGATTCAATGACACAGAATCAGCAGCATGCATGTCATGACTGTTGGGTCTGTTGGATTTCTATGACTCTACTACACCTGCTAGGAAATTATTTGCCATGTAGAAATATCATTTCCACCAAAAACAGTGATTGATCCGGTTAGTGATGATGTCTGACTGCTAGTATTTTGAACACAACTGTATCTGGAGTATACAGTATATATATATATATATATATATATATATATATAAAATATATATCGTATTTTACATTCCATAAGACGCACCTAGGTTTTAGAGGAGAGAGACAAGAAAAAAATATTCTGAACCAATGGACTGCAGACACAGTACAGGGATGACCAGAGACTGCGGACACAGTACAGGAGATGACCAGAGACTGCGGACACAGTACACAGAGAGATGACCAGAGACTGCGGACACAGTACAGGAGATGACCAGAGACTGCGGACACAGTACAGGAGATGACCAGAGACTGTGGACAGTACAGGAGATGACCAGAGACTGCGGACACAGTACAGGGGATGACCAGAGACTGCGGACACAGTACAGGGATGACCAGAGACTGCGGACATACTACAGGAGATGACCAGAGCACTGCGGACCACAGTACAGGGAGATGACCAGAGACTGCGGACACAGTACAGGAGATGACCAGAGACTGCACGACAGGAGATGACCAGAGACTGCGGAGACAGGAGATGACCAGAGACTGCGGACACAGTACAGGAGATGACCAGAGACTGCGGACACAGTACAGGAGATGACCAGAGACTGCGGACACATAGTACAGGGAGATGACCAGAGACTGCGAGTACAGGAGATGACCAGAGACTGCGGACACAGGAGATACAGGAGCAGACCAGTAGACTGCAGACACAGTACAGGAGATGACCAGAGACTGCGGACACAGTACAGGAGATGACCAGAGACTGCGGACACAGTACAGGAGATGACCAGAGACTGCGGACACAGTACAGGGATGAACCAGAGACTGACTGCGGACACAGTACAGGGGATGACCAGAGACTGCAGACACAGTACAGGAGATGACCAGAGACTGCGGACACAGTACAGGAGATGACCAGAGACTGCAGACACAGGTACAGAGATGACCAGAGACTGCGGACATAGTACAGGAGATGACCAGAGACTGCAGACACAGTACAGGAGATGACCAGAGACTGCAGACACAGGTACAGGAGATGACCAGAGACTGCAGACACAGTACAGGAGATGACCAGAGACTGCGGACACAGTACAGGAGATGACCAGAGACTGCGGACACAGTACAGGAGATGACCAGAGACTGCGGAGTACAGGAGATGACCAGAGACTGCGGACACAGTACAGGAGATGACCAGAGACTGCGGACACAGTACAGGAGATGACCAGAGACTGCGGACACAGTACAGGACAGGAGATGACCAGAGACTGCGGGACACGTACAGGGGATGACAGAGACTGCGGACACAGTACAGGAGATGACCAGAGACTGCGGACCTTTGGGGAGCGGGTATCCGAATTTGACAGGTACCCACTCCCACTTCTGCTGCGATCACCTCTCTCCCTGTAGTTTTCTAGGACACGTGACAGGTCCCAGAAGACTACGGGGCCATTCACAAAGTGCAGCATTTTCACGCATGCGCAGTGGGCACCCAGCTGTGAAGCTGCAAGCTGTAACAGCCGGGTACCCACACTGAAGATGATGAGGTGATGAGGACACAGCTGGACCGAGAGCAGGATCTGTTGCACAGAAGAGCCGAGCGGCCAATCCCTCTACTGGCCTCCATCCCTCTCTGCCAATCCCTCCACTGGTCTCCACTCAGTGTCCTCCATCCCTCTCTGCCAATCCCTCCACTGGCCTCCATTCAGTGTCCTCCCATCCCTCTCTGCCAATCCCTCCACTGCCTCCACTCAGTGTCCTTCAACCCTCTCTGCCAATCCCTCCACTGACCTCCACTCAGTGTCCTCCAACCCCATCTCTGCCAATCCCTCCACTGGCCTCCACTCAGTGTCCTCCACCCCTCTCTGCCAATCCTTCCACTGACCTCCACTCAGTGTCCTCCACCCCTCTCTGCCAATCCCTCCACTGACCTCCACTCAGTGTCCTCCACCCCTCTCTGCCAATCCCTCCACTGACCTCCACTCAGTGTCCTCCACCCCTCTCTGCCAATCCCTCCACTGACCTCCACTGTCCTCCACTCAGTGTCCTCCACTCCCTCTCTGCCAATCCCTCAACTGGCTTCCCGTTGCCCAATGGATAAAATTCAAAACATTAACAATAACATATAAAGCCATCTATAACTCCGCCCCCAAATTACATCACCAATCTTGTCTCCAAATATCACCCAAAACCATCCTCTCCGCTCCTCCTATGACCTCCTGCTCTCTAGCTCCCTTGTCTCTTTCTCCCATGCTCGTCTCTAGGACTTCTCCAGAGCCTCCCCATCCTCTGGAACTTTCTACCCCAATTTATCAGACTATCCCCTACTCTGCTCTGCTCACTTTTAGGCATCTCTGAAAACCTATCTCTTCAGGGAAGCCTATCCTGCCGTCAGCTAATACCGAATCTTCTATTCCTCCTACCAGCCCATCCCCCACAGTTATTACCTTTTGTACCACCAGCCCCTCCCTCCTAGATTGTAAGCTCCCAGGATCAGGGCCTCCTATCCTCTTGTATTGAATGTATTGTTGCTGTATTTTCTCCCATTATATTGTAAAGTGCTGAGCAAACTGTTGGCGCCATAAATCCTGTATAATAATAATAATAATAACTGGAAAAGCTCCAATTTCTGGGGAAATTGTGTGAAGTGTTCTTGCCTCCACCAGTAGTCTACAACTCACACTCTAGCTTTTGTCACTCTGCTGGCTGCTCACACACCTGGGTTCCTATGGCACCTCACTCTACAGCAAGGGCAGAGAAGAGCGGTTAAAAAACAAACTGCTCCAACTTGCTCACTTCACTGGCGGTTGCCATCTTCAAACGGTTGTAGTTTAACAATTATAAATCCTACACGAAGAGCTTTATATTGTGAGAGAATCACAAGACCCAGACCTACATTTTGATGCATAGCATAGTATGTCTCTGAAATATTAAAAATGAAGGCACAGTCGCAGTTTAGAATTTGCCCTTCAAATTTGAGGTGTCTAGAGTGGAGTTTCAATGAATGTCAATGGGCGGCGTGAGTTGCAAACAAATAGTCATATTGTGAAAACTATCAGGACTATGGCTTAGCCGTGGACATTTTTAGTGGCAGCCGGGATAGCTGAACGTTTGATATAAGATTTGTGTAGGTGGGCGGGAAGATGAGGGAGTGATGGCAGTTTAGAAATCATGTCCTGATTTTTCAGCTCACACTCTAGTTTTGAACATTCCGCCATTCATTCCTATGGGACCAATTTCACCACAAAAACGCCGATATTTCTTGAACCATTCGGCGAAATGTTCCACAAAGTAATAGCACACCAATCGGGAACAATCCGCACGTTTCGGTATATCACTGTCTATGTAGTGTAAACACTGTGGGAGGAGTTAGGGTGGTAAATGTGGGGAGGAGTTAGGGGAGTAAATTTGGCTATAATAATACGAAATATATGTGTGAGATAACAGGAAGTGGTCGCCATGCAGGAACACTTAATATCTTGGATCTAACCACTTTGTATTTTTTAATTAGACTTTAATTTCAGAACCTTTATACCTGTATATAGTAATGTGAGTATTTCTGTCTTCCATGAAAAGCTGCACAAATATGTGAGAGAAATGTTCATTACACCGACCCAGACGGAGGCGAGATCTACTTCAATGAGAGAAGAGAAATTCCAACCGATCTTATTGTACAGAGCGGCCTTTATATAAAACAATATATCTTTTCCTCAAAGCAAAATTTCCGTTTTCAAGACCCGGATTTTGTACCCAAAACGTTTGATATGAGTAACATCTTCTGGAAACATGGCAACGTAAGAAATGACTTCAATGTTTTCTGTTCATATCATTTGCTGAGGAGGTCATAATTAGGATTTCTAGGAATTTGTATCCTTGTTTTAAGATATACCAACAAATACGTATTATCACGGTATAGGACCCCGGCCAATTATCAATTCCTGCTTACTGATCCGGAGTGTCACGATATATGAGTTCTCTGCCAGCCCAGTTAATAATCCCCAGGTATTAATTCCTTGTTCCTAATCCCTCCTGGCCATAGGAAGAGCCTCCTCCAATTAGTATTCACTCCTGTGTGCCAAAGGCCCCTAGCTGTAATTAACTCGCCCCTCCACAAAAGGTCCCAAATTCAATGAGTGTATACATCCCTAATTAGTGCCTTACTTTTGTTTTAATGTATTTCCCCCACTAATTATCCGGCCCAACCAGTCCTTTCTGTGTACAGCTACAAATTAAATTACTGTAGTTCCATTCTCTTCATTGTCACCTGCTAATGACCCCCCTCTCTCTTCCTGCTCAGGGGGTTTAAGAGGCCAGTGCTGGTCTCTCTTGTTGTGCCATTCTGCTGGGTAACCACTGAGGGGTCCAGCTGGACTCTAGTGGCCCCCGGCTCTGCCTGAGCTCCATTGGAGGAAGGGGGATCCCAGAAGCTACATCAGCCCTGCCTGGAACGCTGTCAACTCTGCCTGAGACTATCGCATCAGCTTTGCGTGAGTGTATGCTCCCCTTGTGCTATCTGACTGACTGCTTATGAACTGCCTCTTGGATTACAAATTGCTGTGGAGCCTTTAGCTTTGCCCACCGGGGCTGTTTTACAAGTATTTTGGACTCTCTCTCCCTGCACTACTCCCCATTGAGTGACTGTTGTCTGTTTTAATAAAGCTTTAAGTGTTTGCCGTCTGCCTTGTGTGTTCTGTCCCGCTTACCCTCCGTTACACGTATGTTCATGAAAGTGGTCATTCTTGGAGTCGGTGAAGGCTTTTAACTGCCATAATTTTGTGCAAAGTTTCCTATAAGTGATCTATTTTCTATTTTGAGTATATATGTGTTATGAAATAAAGTTGGCATGGTGCGCATGCGTGGCCAGTGGGGACGGACATGTCTCTCTGAGGCTCCTCTGCACCACAGGGAAGACAGCCACCCCGACCCATGATCCTGGCCCGCATCATCATATAAATGGCCCCAGTTGCCATAGCGATCCCCCTGCCACACGCTAATATGGTCAGGGGAGCGTCCCAGCACCAGACTCTGCCACCCGCCCGGCAAACCAATCGAGGAGGCCCTTGCTCGTGCCTCCTCCAAGATGGCCGCTGCACCCCTCTCACAGCAGCAAGCCAGCAGCATTTGAAGTATACAGCCCTGCACACGGAGCAGCCAAGCCATCCCTGCACTTCTGAGGGTGAGTCTGATGCTGAGACAGAGACCCCCATACATGCTTCAACACCTGATCTTACTACTCCTGACCTCACACGTTTTGGAAAAATGCTACACAAAAAGCCCTGAACACAGACCTCTGACCGCACCACAGACAAGCTGTCCAGAGAAATCCGTGAACTAGAGCAATGCACTGGTGACCTGGAACAGAGGGAGGATGACCTGAACGCCTCTCATTTCAAACACAAAACACACAAACTCGACCTTTTGCGTGACGAAAACACTACATTACAAATGTGCTTAGAGGACTTTGAGAATCGGGCTAGGCGCTCAAACGTGTGAATTTGTGGCCTTCCTGAGTCGATTATTGATGTCCAATCCACTGTCACAGCGTTATTTCAAGAGCTCTCCCCTGCTATTCCCATAGAATGCCTAGAAATGGATAGGGTTCACAGGGCATTGGATCCAAAACGCACCGGCGGCCCACCATGAGATATCATAGCCAAGCTCCACTTCTTTCGCACTAAAGAACAATTTCTACAAGCAGCCCGTAATGCAGAATCCCTCACGTTCCAGGGTCACACTTACCAGCTATTCCAAGACCTCTGTCCCACTACCATTGCCAAACGAAGGGCCATGAAGCCACATTTACAAGCTCTTCAACAGCATGACATACCGTATAAATGGTGCTTCCCCTTCGCAGTACGTTTCCAGTACCAGGCCCGAGACCACATCTGCAAGACCCCTTATGAGCTTCAAGACACCCTGCGGAACCTCCAGCTGCACCCTCACACAACACCATCAGAAAGCTCCAGACGACGATCAGCAGAGGCGTAGCTAGGATATTTTGCGCCCGAGGATGAACAGCCACCTCATGACACCCCCCCCCAGCTTCATATGGTCCATGTAGACACCCCCCATCCCAATCACATTGCCCCCCCTTTATCCATGGCACTACACACCCGGCTCGGATCTCCCCTCGTCCCCTCCGGCACATGCCCGGCTCACTGCCCCTCTCCGCTCCCTCCCTCCTCTCCCGGCCGCCCACTGTAGATGGCAGACGTATCAGATGACATGTCTGCTGCAGCCGCTGCAGTGATCTTGTCACCTCATTTTGCCGCCCCTTTACCTTGGTGCCCGGGTACATATGTACCCCCCTGCCCCCCCAGCTACGCCTCTGACGATCAGCATCATGCTCACCGCAGAAATCTCACCCGACACACCTCACCAACGGTCAACTCAACACCCACAAATGAGGACGTTTTTCATCACCTGCTCCATCTCCACAAGATTCCATGGACATCAATCATCTCTCGCTTTACAGCCTACATTCAACGAAGTGGGACTCCCGCCACCCTCGTAGTTGACACCCATGGTGTCTGTTCCTCTCATCCCTCACCTGAATGCAGATGTTAAGCATCCGTA